GTTGGCACACGGACATATTCGCATACCAACACACCAAAGCACATACACACACTTATGCAAGCACAAGAGCAAACACACAGCAAGCGGCCAAGCAGGCGTATAAACAAAAAACTGCATTTACATACCTTCACACACAAGCACAAGCACAAGCACACACAGACACAGACTGACTGACTGACAGACAGACAAAGAGTGTCCTAAAGATGTAGCTAAAGTGCGCGCACGTGAACACGTTTTCATCGTGCCTTCTGCTCTTTCTTGCTCCTTGGCCTTGAACTGGATAAAGAGATGAGAACAAAGGTGAGGCTGTTGTGACACTAGCATCTCTTCCTATTTTTCTCTTTTCCGCCTTTTCTTCCTCTTTCTCTGGCTGTTTTCTTTCGCTTTCTTTGTCTGACATTTGCGACTGAAGGCCATGTCAGGTTGGAACAAGGCCGTGTTTCGAGGTGCTTCTCTGAGCCTCTCTCGATGCACTGTCTCGACTGTCGTGACTGTCGCGATTGTCGCGACCTTGATAAATCCACCAGACGAGTGGCCGCAACCTAAAAGATTGTTCGTAAACCAGTCGGCTGGCTGGCCGGCCGGCCGGTCAGTCAGTCAGTCGGTCGGCCATTCAGTCGACCTTCCATCCATCCATCCATTCATCCACACATCCACTCATCCCTACTTGCGTCCATAATTCTCTGCCTCAAATCGTCCATTCCTGCAGACAGACAGTCGGTGTCTATCATTTGAACGGTCATTGTGCCGTCCATCTGATCGATAATTCCGTCTTTCCCGTTGGGCGGCCTTGAGGCGGGTCGGAGGGGCAGTGCGAAAGGGCCGAGTGAGTCGGAGAGCTTGACCGGTTCAACCCGTTCAACCCGTTCAACCCGTTCAACCCGATTCAACCCAATTCAACCCGAGGCGAGGCCACCGGCATTAACTGCCACTCGCTGCCTCACATGCCAACGCCAGACGCGGCAGACTGTCTGTGGGATGGGTCGGAGACAACGCGGCCTACGTGAACTGCCCTTTTGCCCGTCCCCTACCTCTGCGTCTGGTCGTCAGGCCTTGATCTTCACCCTGGCTGCATTTGCTCGTGGTACTTGTCGCGCTGCCCAAACTGTACCGGTTGCACAGGCCTCGCTTGCCACGGCAACTTCAAGGCATGCCGGATTGTGGCTTTGTCAGTCACTCCTTATGCGCTTGCTCACTTGCCCAGCTTAACATAGCCCCGTATGTATGTATATATATATGTGTTTGTGTGTGTGTGTGTGTGTG